CCATATTTTGTTATCCAAGTGATCCTTTATGTGGGTCTCAGTGAAAGCCGCAAACATTGCCTTTGCCTCTGCAAGCAGTCCACGGATGAAAGGTATTTTGTTGTTTGTTGCTGGCTTTAGACCCTGTATATTTGCAAAGAAGAATGTCATCGGACTGGTGGTATTGGTTGGTACTGGGGGGGGGGATTTTTTTTTTTTCCCGGGATTAGTATCTGTATCTGTTGGTTTGGAGTGGAGGCCATCGACTGTGGTTCCACTCCAGGAATGACTGGATTTGGTGTTACAATTTCTGCCATTTCCTGCCAGTTTTTTTTTCCTTCCTGCACTAAAAAACCTCTCCCTCTTGAGTGGCTGTGGCTAACCCAGGTTTTCCCATGGCCTGGATGTTTTGTATCTTTTGTCCCCTTTAGATGGTGTGCCTGGCAATTTAAGTTATAGCACAGTCTTTTCCTGTACTGAAGAAGTACACATTTCAGGGTGAAAAAGCTTACAGGAAGGGAGTTTGCATTTTCCTGTTGTCATATGGGCACGGCATTTTCTAGGGTGGTCATAGTTGCACGTCCCATCTGTTTTTCCAGATTTCCCATGTCTGCAGATACCAAGTGCATAGTATGTGCACAGGCTTGGTTTCCATTTGCCCTGGGTTTCTGTGACTGTATTCCCTGTTGGTGCATGTTTACCTGTCTTATTCCTATCCTCCCTAGCACCAACAATGGAGCTCCCACCAGTTGCTTTTGGTAATATATCCTCACTATTGCTAGTGGAGTCCTCTTGTTTGCTATTTCTTGTGGTATTTATAGTTTGCAATATTGGTTTTATCTTATCTTTGACTACACTTGTTTCCCCACTACGGCTCCTGTCCCCTATGAGGTCATTTATATGCATTCCATCCTGCGTATAATTCCCGACTACCTGGACAAAATCTCCAGCTTCACCATTACTGTCTCCCAGGACAGCACCTCTAGCTTCACCATTACTGTCTCCCAGGACAGTGCCTCCTGCTTCACTATTACTGTCTCCCAGGACAGCACCTCTAGCTTCACCATTACTGCCTCCCAGGACAGCACCTCCAGCTTCACCATTACTGTCTCCCAGGACAGCACTATCAGCCCCACATTTACTGACAACCAGGACATCCCCTCCAGCCTTAAAGTTTCTGACTACATGGCCAGCATCAAGGGCAGTACCATTCAGCCCAGACTTTTTATGTTCCCATCTGTTGTAGAAAGCTTCCAGGTTGTCTATGAAAGCAGTTTTGGTGTTATCCTCTTTTAATACCCTTGTGATTTTAGTCCACAGATTTATCTCATTTGGGCATACCCAAAAACACTTCCCTGTTTTAATACTGCTTGTAGCTAGTAGTAGTAGTAGTAGTGGTAATAGTAGTAGTAGAGGTAGTAGTAGTGGAAACAATGTGGTGAGATGGGTTGGGTTAGAGAAGGACCTGTTGATATGCTCTAACATGATGTCTACAGGTCCTCCTCTAACCCTAACCCATCTCGCCACATAGTTCCACTACTACTACTACTACTACTACTACCACCACCACCACCACCACCACCACCACCACTACTACCTTTACCCACGCGACACTCCACCTGACTCCTGCCACTTAGTTTTCTCTATATTAGGACTGAAGAAGCTACTCATGGGAAAACATTTCCTTTAATAAATGTCCTGAACTGTACATAAGTGTCTTTTTTTGCATATTGTATCTTTTACAGGCTGGCCCCATTTTACAGCACTTCACTTTACAGCATTCTGCTAATGCAGTAGTTTTAAGTTATGATCAGTCTTCATTTATTCAGACTTTCTACAATAAATATATTCACTTACAATAAACTAAGGATGAAAGTATTTTAAGGTAATGTGTGTACTGTATGTGCATTTTTTTAGGCCTAACTCTATTGATCACTTAATATATGATTAGTGTAAACATGTGATCAGGCTTTCATATGCATTTGACAGTGAGGAAAAGGTTATGGTTCACTTTTCGGCAATTTTTGCTTAACAGCAGTATCTCGGAATTTAACCTGCTATATAATAGTGGCACTCCTCTGTACACATGCTTGTATGACATCTTATTGAGAATGCCATAAACTGCACATTTTATCTTATACAGTGGACCCCCGGTTAACGATATTTTTTCACTCCAGAAGTATGTTCAGGTGCCAGTACTGACCGAATTTGTTCCCATAAGGAATACTGTGAAGTAGATTAGTCCATTTCAAACCCCCAAACATACACGTACAAACGCACTTACATAAATACACTTACATAATTGGTCGCATTCGGAGGTGATCGTTATGCGGGGGTCCACTGTATACACTTGTTTTACATTGTACCCATTAGATCAGAATAATGCTAAAAAATAGCAGAAAAAGTACTTAAGTACACTATTGTACACCTAATATACTAGTACTGTACACAATTTGCACTTTCTTTTTTTTAACACATCGGCTGTTTCCCACTGAGGCAGAGTGACCCAAAAATAAAGAAAAATACTTTCATCATCATTCAACACTTTCACCATCAATCATACATAATCATTGTCTTTGCAGAGGCACTCAGATACGACAGTTTAAAAGTCCCTCCAAGCTGCCATTATCCCAAAATTACACTTTTTTTTTTTCAACAAGTCGGCCGTCTCCCACCGAGGCAGGGTGACCCAAAAAGAAAGAAAATCCCCAAAAAGAAAATACTTTCATCATCATTCTGCACTTTCACCTCACTCATACATAATCACTGTTCTTGCAGAGGCACCCAGATACAACAGTTTAGAAGCATATATAAAGATATATAACACATATATCTTTATACATGTATATGCTTCTAAATGGGAAGTACAATGCCTGCACTTTAAAGGAGGGGTTTGGGATATTGGCAGTTTGGAGGGATATGTTGTGTATCTTTATATGTGTATGCTTCTAAACTGTTGTATTCTGAGCACCTCTGCTAAAACAGTGATAATGCGTGAGTGTGGTGAAAGTGTTGAATGATGATGAAAGTATTTTCTTTTTGGGGATTTTCTTTCTTTTTTGGGTCACCCTGCCTCGGTGGGAGACGGCCGACTTGTTGAAAAAAAAAAATATATAACATATCCCTCCAAATTGCCAATATCCCAAACCCCTCCTTTAAAGTGAAGGCATTGTACTTCCCATTTCCAGTATTCAAGTCCAGCTATACAAAACTAACCGGTTTCCCTGAATCCCTTCACTAAATATTACCCTGCTCACACTCCAACAGCTCTGAAGCCTGCCCATCAGCATTTTATCCACCAATACATAATCTAACAAACTACTTTCATTATGTGCTATATCATACCTTGTATACTTATCCTCTTTTTCATAAAATATATATTACCTATTACCAAACCTTTTTCTACACATAGCTCAATTAAAGGCTCCCCATTTTCATTTACCCCTGGCACCCCAAATTTACCTGCTACTCTCTCCACAACATTTTAACCCACTTTAGCATTGAGATCCTCAACTACAAGTATTCTCTCACTTGGTTCAAACTCCCCATGCACTCACTCAACATTTCCCAAAATCTCTCTCTCTCCTCTACACTTCTTTCTTCTCCAGGTGCATAAAGGCTTACTATAACCCACTTTACACATCCAACCCTTATTTTACTCCACATAATCCTTAAATTTATACATTTATATTTCCTCTTTTCCTGCCATAACTTATCCTTCAACATTATTGCTATTCCTTTTTTAGCTCTAACTCTATTTGAAACCCCTGACTTAATCCCATTTATTTCTCCCCACTGAAACTCTCCCACCCCCTTCAGCTTTGTTTCACTTAAAGCCAGGACATCCAGCTTCTTCTCATTCATAACATCCACAATCATCTCTGTCTTATCATTTGCACAACATCCACACACATTCAGACTTCCCACTTTGACAATTTTCTTTTTAGTAGGCTATACGGGAAAAGAGGGTTACTAGCCCATTGTTCCTGGCATTTTAGTTGACTTTTACAACATGCATGGCTTATGGAGGAAAGATTCTTATTTCACTTCCCCATGGATATGATAGGAAAAGCAATAAGAACAAGAACTATTAAGATAAAAATCAAAGAAAACTCAGATGAGTATGTATACATAAACATGTACATGTATGTGTAGTGTGACCAAAGTGTAAGTAGAAGTAGCAAGATATACCTGAAATCTTGCATATTTATGAGACAGAAAAAAGACACTAGCAATCCTACCATCTTGTAAAGCAAATACAAGCATCCTTTTTTACACTCGCTTGGTAGGACAGTAGTACCTTCCCGAATGGTTGCTGTCTACCAACCTACTACCTGTAAAAAACTCTATATCAAAGCCCTAATCTTTTACTTTCTTTCAACACTCTGGCCGTATCCCACCAAGGCAGGGTGGCACAAAAGGAAAAACGAAAGTTTCTCCTTTTACATTTAGTAATATATAAAGGAAAAGGGATTACTAGCCCCTTGCTTCAGGCATTTTAGTCACCTCTTACAACACGCATGGCTTACGGAGGAAGAATTCTGTTCCACTTCCCCATGGAGGTAAGAGGAAATAAACAAGAACAAGAACTAGAAAGAAAATAGAAGAAAACCAAGAGGGGTGTGTATAATGTATATGCTTGTACATGTATGTGTAGTGTGACCTAAGTGTAAGTAGAAGTAGCAAGACGTACCTGAAATCTTGCATGTGTATGAGACAGAAATAAAAGACACCAGCAATCCTACCATCGTGTAAAACAGTTACAGGTTTCCGTTTTACACTCACTTGTCAGGATGGTAGTACCTCCCTGGGTGGTTGCTGTCTACCAACCTACTACCTGTAAAAAACTCTATATCAAGGCCTTAATGTCAGTGTATAAATTAATTGTCATTAATGACTTATGCACTTGATAGACTTTTAACTTATCACTATTTTATTTTGTTTTATTTTATATCTTACGCCATTTGTACTCTTCATGTTCAGTATTAATTAATTCCATTAATACAACATTAAAAATTATAGATAGGCTCCCTGGATGCAATGATGGGAAGTATGTTGTTGTAACGAAGGCATACGTGATGAGCATTGAAAGTCACATATCTGGCGATTACGAAATTGCACGCATTATCTCGCATACTGATCGTCTAATGGTCACAATTAGTGAGGATACAAAGTCTGCAAAGGTGGGTTAGTTTCAGTTTTTGAATCACTCATTTAGCCTGTGTTTATGTGATATTTTTAATGGATGATACTGTGGTATTGAGGCCAGTGGTGGAGAATGTTTTGAGTGGTAAGGGCCTGAGTTACCAGCAGGTATGTTTGAGTGTGCTGTATTGGTGTGAGTGGAGACGAGGTATTTTGGATTTCATGTGCTGTTGGCGTGTGAACAAGGTAACACTTACGAAAGGAGGCAAGGCTTGACTCCTGTGAAATAGTGTCTGCACTTTGAAGCATAGGTTGCAAATCCAAGGATCGCTAGAAGTGGGAGGTCTGCTCACTTCTGACAAGACAGCTGTTGAATAAATGATAGTGAATGTATTTGTCTTCATGTGGAAAAATGGCTAATGTGGTATAAAACAAAAAAGGGTATTATATTTACAACCACCCAAGACACTGTATATAGAGACACTCGGTTAGTCATTGTCTTATTAATCTTAAGCTAGTCTCAAGTTTGCCTGAAAAGCTCTACATATTACAGGACTTGCTGCATGCACACCTAAATGTCATTCACCTCTTTACAAATATTGTATCATGTTGAAATAAAGAATTTTATCTAATTTAATCTAATCTAGTGTTGATTTTGACTTATTAAAATGCCCTCCCAATAATTTGTTATTCATGAAACAGGTAACACAAGATGGAGACATCATATGTGATCATGATTGGAGTCTGGTAATCTACTACAGTAATCCTTACAAGACTCATGTACTGCAAGAGGTTGGTGACCACACTTCCAGTGGGTTTATGAATGACAACTTGATCATGATTAACATCTTCCCAGAAATCCCAGCCAATAGCTACTCCAACAAGAATGAAATAATTTTTTTCATCGATTGCTCAGGTAAGCCTTTAACAAATGCTATAAGTAAATGAGTACTTTTATATTTTGGTATCTGAGTCTTAGCTTTCACATGATTTTTTACCTTCCCTTTGTAGGTAGTCCCATGTAAAAAAAATTTCCATGTATTTGGTTAGATTAAAGTTCTGGAGGTGTAATGTGCAATGTAGTGAAGGATGTTTCAGTTTGATGTATCATTTCAGTTGTGATTCCCAGGCATTAGTGGAAAGACATCCAGATGTGGAGTAAATTCTTTCTTTCTTTCAACACACCAGCCGTATCCCACCGAGGTGGCGTGGCCCAAAAGGAAAAACAAAAGTTTCTCCTTTTACATTTAGTAATATATACAGAAGGGGTTACTAGCCCCTTGCTCTAAGGTATCTAAGGCATATACCTGGAGGGTGTTCTGGGAGTCAGCGCTCCCAGGGCCCGGTCCATGACCAGGCCTCGTGGTGGTTCAGGGTCTGATCAACCAGGCTGTTATGGCTGGCCTTACGTAAAGTGACGTATGAACCTCAGCCTGGCTGGTTAGGTACTGCCTTTAGGTACCTGTCCAGCTCCCTCTTGAAGACAGCCAGGGGTGTATTGGTAATCCACCTTATGTATGCTGGGGAGGGGGCAGTTGAACAGTCTTGGGCCCCTGACACTTATCTAGGTGGTATTTACACCATCTTGTTAACAGTTACATACCATTCTTGGTCCAGCTAAATATTGTATGATATCAGTGTACTATATTTTGTTCTTTGGGTGAGCCAAAAGTGGGTCACCCTTGAGGGGCTCTTAATCCAAGAAACTGCACTTAGCCTCCCCTTATTTGGATTGAATGTGAATATCCCTTCCTTCCAATCCCTTTCTGATAGTTCTGTGTATATAGTGAATGATTCAATGTTGCATTAATGAGAATTAAGAAATTTTCTTATTTTGCTCATTTGTACATTCTGGCAATGGTGTTACAATAAATACGTATGTACATATATGGTATAAGAGAGCTGGCTACTTATATTCAGAGTTTATTTTGTTTTATAATTATTGCAGAATACTGCATTGTCATTCCCAGTAGAGTACAGCATTATATTTGATCTTTACTTTCAGAAAGCATGGTAGGCAAGAACATCAAATGTACAAGAGTAGCTCTTCTGTTGTTCCTCAAGAGTTTACCCATGGACTGCTTGTTTAACATCGTCACATTTGGCACTGATTTCTCATTCCTTTTCCCAGAGTAAGTTTGGGAGTTAATATAACGGGAATGTTTTATAATACCATCAGATAGTGCAACCAGTTAACCGGAGTTGAATCCTGGAGGTGGAAAGTACAGCGTTTGTGCTCCAAAGGAGGGGTGGAGATATGTTGCAGTTTTTGAACTGTAGTGAAGGCATGCTTCTAGCAAAGCAGTTAGGGAGATAATGATGATGAAAGCATTTCTTCTTTTTTGGGTCACCTTCCTTAATGGGAAACGGCTGATGTCTTAATAAAAAAAATAGGACAAAAGGGGAATGTTAGTTTTCCTCACATTTTCTTTCTTTACAATGTTGTTGTTGTTACAGAGGAAGAATTCTTTTCTGGAGGCTTTAATTAATGGGGGTGGGGGGAGTTTTTGAACAGCTTCAGCCTCCCCTTTTCTGTCCCCTTTACCCTCCCCCTTTCCCTCCCTTGGCATTGCCCTTGCTTGCAGTATCAAATATATTTGGAAATTACTAGGTGACCTTGTATCACTAGAAATTCAATATGTTGTGGTCAAGGCTTTGTAAAATCATGAACTTAAGTGTTACAAGGATTAACAATTGCTCACCAAGTTTGCTAGCCCCAGACTGAGTGAATAGGAAATCTTGCAAAACTGGTCTTGGGTATTTTTTTTAACACACTGACCATATCCCACTGAGGTAGGTGACTCCTCAAAAAGAAGAAATGTAAAGTTTTCTTCTTTTTACATGTAGTAATTCATACATGAGAAGGGGTTACTAGCCCCTTGCTCCCAGCATTTTATTTGCCTCTTACAACATGTATGGTTTATGGAGGAAAGATTCTTCTCCACTTCCCCATGGAACAGTCTCAGGTATATCCTAGACAAATACTGTTCTTGTTCTGTATTTTTAGGGGGAGCCGTAAATATAATGAAGAAACATTGGCAGAAGCTTGTGTACACCTGGAGTCCCTTGAAGCTAACATGGGAGGCACTGAGATGTTTCTTCCCTTACAGGAGATATATTCACAACCTCCCAAGGCTGGATACTTTAGACAGGTTAATACTTATTTTGTGTATACACTGGATGCTATCTTGTCCACTGATTAACTAGATATCACTTTTGAACAGCTGATCTGAAAATTGGATAAAATGACAGGCAACTGATTACCAGCTAGTTTGATATTTCACGATGTTTTGAGTATTTTCGTACAGTGAAGTTTTATCTCCAATTTACTTCAGATTCTCTTGATCTCTGATGGAGATATATATAATGTGGATGAGGTGATTCAACTGGTGGGACGTAATGCCCACGAAACTCGAGTTTTTGCAGTGGGTGTTGGTGAAGGAGCATCCACCATCCTAATAAGCGGAGTAGCCAGGGCCGGTCGTGGCCGCTCAGAAATTGTGCTGCAACCGGAGCAAATTCAAGACAAGGTAAACGTGTCAGTAAATTTGTATCTTTCCTTGTCTTGCTTATGTGCAGCTTCCATCACTGTACAGGTGCTCCTCAACTTATGATGGGGGTTATGTTCCTACAAACCTGTCGTAAGTTGAAATTATCATGAGTCGGATATGAATATATTATATACAAGTAAATAAATAACTACTGTCAGTGAAAAAGTACATAAACAAATACAGCCTCTCCTCACTTGACGATGGGGTTCCGTTCCTAAGACCACATCGGTAAACGAATTCACTGCTAAGTGAGAAGCATATTATAATTGTAGTGAGTTTGTGTCAACCATCTTTGATATTATTTTAATGTCACCTTTGAACTATTTATAACATTTCTGGTATACATTTAAATGTTTATGAAGTATTGTACTGTATATTTTAATAAACAGAATAGAGGAAATCAGCTCTTAATATACATTATTTAGGTATGCATACTTATCAGAGAGCCCGTTGTAAGTCTGAGTCGTCGGTAAATGAGTACATCGCTAAGTGAGGAGAGGCTGTACATAAACAAATACAGTAGAACCCCATACCTGGGGTTTCAGCTTCCGCAGTTTCAGTTATCCAGGTTTACCGTGGCCCGAAAATAACTCTTAATTTTGCTTAATAATGATCCCAGAGCACAAAATTAGTGATGCTGGCAGTTCTTCAAAGACTAAGAGAAGCAGTGAAGTATTTCCCTTCAGTGAAAAATTTTTAATTCTCAACTTTTTGTGAATAATTTATCAATTAAACTTTATCATAGTTATGTATGTAAACAAAATGACATATAGGGTTCACTACTATCCACGGTTTCAGGTATCCACAGTAGGTCTTGCAGAGTATCTCTACAGACATGGGGGGGGACCACTGTAATTACTGTAACTAACTAAATACCAGTATTGAAAAATAAATGCTTACAAGTTACAGACTTGCTTCCTTCTTGCTGGGTAAAATCTTAAGTTTCATCTCCAAAGTAGTTGTTGCTTTGGCAACATCGTGAAGTCAAAATATCGTAAGTCGAGGAGCACTTTTTTTTTTTTCTCTCAACACTTTGGCCATCTCCCACCGAGGCAGAGTGACCCGAAAAAGAAGAAACATGTTTTTCTTCTTTTTACAGTTAGTAATTTATACAGGGTTATAATTTATACAGGGTTACTAGTCCCTTGCTCCCGGCATTTTAGTCACCTCATATGACACGCATGGTTTACAGAGGAAGGATTTTTCTCCACTTTTCCATGGAGGAGCACCTGTACAGTGGAACCTCAAATATCGAACTGCTCCCAACTCAACCATTTATGTAAGTGTATTTTTGTAAGTGCTTTTATAAGTGTATTTTTGAGGGTCTGAAATGAACTAATCTAATTTACATTATTCCTAATGGGAATGAATTCATTCGGTAACGGCACTTGAACAGCCATCTGGAACAAAGAAAGTTCGATATTTGAGGTTCCACTGTATTTATATTAATAGTTCACCTCTTTCTCCAGCCTATTTAACCATAAGTTATAACTTGGGTGTTATAGTTTTAGAGTTCACACCATGACTATAGTAATTGTGTGACCCTTCTGATACTATGATTTATTTCCAGGTTATAGGGTTTATTTTCTCAATGGTGCAGGAGACTGTTCAGAATGTACAACTTGTCTTCGAAGTGGAGCCAAACACCACCATCACACTCGTTCCTCAAGTTCCTCCTATTATCTTCGGTGGTCAGCATCTCGTTGTGTATGCAAAGGTGCCTTCTACAAGCACTGTAAGTTTGCTAATGTTTTTTACATAGCTGTGACAAGTTTCAGGGGTGTTTTGACCCTCACAGCCCAGCCTGAGCTTTGTTGACTGCTTGGTCAGCCAGGCTGTTGCTGCTAATAGCCTGTAGGCTTGCATAGCCATCACAACCTGGCTGATCAAGCAATTGCACAGACCAGTGCCATGATTACCATTCTTCCTTGTAGTAATGAGACTTGTTTTGATTAGCACTTAGAAATGGAAAACAACCATTGTTTTAGCATTATCTTCATTGTATGCAAGATTTCTTGCTATATCAAAAGTAAGATCAGTTCTGTAAAGTTAAAGGGTATAATTAAGGGCTTCAGGCCTTAAAACACATAATGAACCATCTATAAATTGAGATTGCAGTATGAGCATTTCATGTTTTCTTTGTACAGGTACTGTACAGTGGACCCCCGCTTAACGATCACCTCCGAATGCGACCAATTATGTAAGTGTATTTATGTAAATGCGTTTGTACGTGTATGTTTGGGGGTCTGAAATGGACTAATCTACTTCACAATATTCCTTATGGGAACAAATTCGCTCAGTACTGGCACCTGAACATACTTCTGGAATGAAAAAATATCGTTAACCGGGGGTCCACTGTACTTCTCAACTTACGATGGGGTTAAGTAAAAAATATCGTAAGTCAAATATGTACGTATATGATATGGTAAATAAATACATACAAAATTACTACTGTCACTGAATAGGTAAACAAAGAGATAATTACTGGAACTAACTAAATACATTATTAAAAAGTAAAAAAATGTACACAAGTTGTGGACTTGTTGCCTTCATGTTGGGTAGTTATCATAAGTTTTATCATAAGTTGCACCATCATAAAGTCAAAATATCAAAAGTCAACCCACCATAAGTCGAGGTCAACTAGATTATCCAAATTATTTTATCAAACTGTGATTTAATAGTTATGTACATATGTCTCCTATGAAGGTAAAGGCAGTAAGTGTCATGGGCAGTATTAGAGACACTGAGATAAATACTAGTATCAAGGGTAGCGACATCATTACTGTTGATGATGCGGAGAAAAGCCTTCATCTCTTGGCAGCACAAGCCCAAATCAATCAATGGCAGTTGTGTGAGGAAGGCAAGTAACTTTTGTTTTCTCAATATTTTTTTAAGCATTGTGCAGTAAATTGTCAATTTCTTGGGTTTTTCGGGGAACTAAGTTTTATCAATGCCAGATGATCACATTATTTTTTGTTTCTTTGATCTTGCCCATTTTTTTTTTCAATACTGCTATTTTAAAATACTGGATGAAACAAGACCAACACTTGGATATCTTTATTGTGGAAATGTTTTACCAACCAGTGGTTTCATAAGTCCATCAATCAAGATTGATAGACTTATGTGATCAGTCCATCAATCAAGATTGATGGACTGATCACATCGACTATAGACTGAGGGACTGATTATCTCAACTCCTGATCTTCAACCTTTCTTCTCTGTATTGGACTGAGGAAGACACTGGTTGGTGAAATGTTTCCACAATAACGATACCCAGGTGTTGCAAAAGTATCTAACTCATCATCCTGTCAGTTCTCTGAACCATTTATCTACAAACAACACCACTTCATAAAATTGATGGTTAAACAACTGATCACCAGATAATCAGTGATCTAGTGTATTGTATAGTAAAACTTACATACTGTATTACATTTCAACATTTTCAAGAAAGTATATAAACTCAAAATAGGCTGGAATGAATGACTGATAGTGAATAAACAAAAGAATGGACAGGGATTCTAACTGGGGCTCTGGCATGTAACAAGTTTAACTCTGTAACCATACAGAATTTACAATAGGATGATTTTACAACCATCACTGCTGTGTTATTGTTGTATCAGCAGCATTAACTATGCCCTACTGTCTCATCCCAGAGCCCCAGAAGCTTTCATGGTACATATATTATTCTCATACCCTTTTAAGCTTTGGTACACCCATGATACAGCAATGCTGGCTGTAATCATCATATTATAAGCTCTGTGGCTGAGTGGTTAAATTGTTGGCCCTCCTGTATGCAAGGACCACACTTCAAGCCTCTATCTATTTGTCTGTTTAAAACAATGTATATGCACTGAGAGTTTAATCCCTGTTTTTGGGATTAAAGCACAGGATGGCCCTGCATATACAGCACCTCTTTATGGTGTTCCATGTTTTTGTTTTGTTTTGCCAGTAATCTTCACCAGCAGGTGAAACATAATGAAAAATGTCTCAATATGTAGCCAACAAAAATGTGGAGCCCTCCTGTATTCTTGACTGATTGTAACCAGGTTACATGCAGTCTCAATGACCCTCTCAATTAACTAATCAGCATTTTCAAGTATGAAAACTTATTTCTGTGAAAGGTTTCATGAACCATTCTATGACCAGCAACGTGCCTCTTAGGCTATACATTATGTGACGTGGACTCAAGTCTTATGAAGAGATCTCTTCTACATACATAGCAATGGGGGGAACTTCATATTTACAAGGCTTTGAACTTGACCTGTAGTAGGAATGAATGGACTTTGTATCTGACTGAATTGAAGAGTGTATGAATAGATTCTACCAATTATTTATTTAAATTTGTTATGCATTTACATTACAGATGTTGCTAATGATATAATTGAATTGAGTGTGGCTACTGGTGTCTTGTCCAAGCTGACGGCATTAGTTGGAGTAAACCAACGTGGAAAATTAGTGAAGCAAAGTTTATACAATGAACAAGATGTCAATTTTATGGCTATGGTAAGAACAATTTTGTTGTGATGGAGAACAAAAAGACACAATACCATGACTAAAAGTGTACTTTTTTTTGCTACCTCACATTTTTTGTAATAATGCATACTTAAAATTGTACCACATAATAACCTATGTCTAGTCTTAAGTAGTCCGTGAACATTAGGATTAGTCAGCCTGAAATGCACACCATGCTAGTCGCTTTCTTTTGTGTTTAATATGTTATTAAATGTAAACTACATTTTTGTAAACTGCACAAAGAAATAAAGTTTGTCTATGCACAAGTGTATATTGTGATTTGTAAATGGTCCAAGTTGGACCCAGATGTTGTCGTAAAGTTCTCTCTCCTGTGTGAGTTATTTGTGTTTTGTTGTGCTAAATAGATCTCTAAGTCTTAAAATGCATTAAGATGGGAAACTTGTCAGAGATAGTTGAAGACCTCATGGGAATGCTTCAAAAGTGCTTGTTATTGTTAGTCTAGCTGATGCCCATAGAAAGTGCTTGTTGTTATTGTTAGTCTAGCTGACATCCATAGAAAGTGCTTTTTATTGTTAGTCTAACTGATAACCATAGAAAGTGTTTGTTATTGTTAGTCTGGCTGACATCCACAGAAAGTGCTTGTTATTGTTAGTCTAACTGACAGCCATAGAAAGTGCTTATTGTTAGTCTAGCTGACATCCACAGAAAGTGCTTGTTATTGTTAGTCTAACTGACAGCCATAGAAAGTGCTTGTTGTTATTGTTAGTCTAGCTGACATCTACAGAAAGTGCTTGTTATTGTTAGTCTAGTTGACAACTATAGAAAGTGTTTGTTGTTATTGTTAGTCTAGCTGACAGCCATGGAAAGTGCTTGTTGTTGTTAGTGTAGTTGACACCCATGGAAAGTGCCTATTATATTGTCACCCTTGAATGTCAACTTTAGCATTCTTTTGTATCATTGTTGCAGCATTGATGGTTTAGTGTGCAAGTGCTTGTGAATGTCCTGAAAAAACATACTACAGTGTATCTGAGTTAAAAAATTTAATTAAAAATATATAAGTAATCAGTATCATGGAAAGGAAAGGAAAAAGGCCCATGAATACATGAGGGGAATTAAAACAAAATGAAAAAGCTCAGTGGAATGAAAATTTGAATTTCATTATAGATTTTCATTCAAAAAAAAATGCTTATAGTATATTGAAATAAGACTGTATGTAAGTTTCTTTCAGCAGGAGTCCTCTGTAAAACGGCATTATACACAATTTTTTATATTATTGGGGCTTTTACAATATGAATAATGTAATTAACGCACTTTTTTTTTTATATGTTAAACAGGTTTTATGTCGTGCTCCAAGTCATTTGCTCACTCAGGACTTGATTGCGTTTGGAGCTGATACTTGCTGCGGCTCACACATATGTTATGATTACGGAATTTTAGACTGGGAAGATGGAGCTCTAGGAAGCAGTTATGGAGCTTTTGGCTGTGGAAATGGCTGTGGAGGCAGCGGAACTTCTAACTGGGTAGGCGTTACTATAACAAGCTCCTGTGTAATATGTTCTAGTTATAGCATATATAAATTATTGTAGATATCTAAATAATTTTTTGTAGAATTTGGGCCTTAATTCTAACATTTTATTTTAGTTAACCATTTCACTGTCTCCCTCATAGATCTGTGTCATTGATGCGAGTGCCACTCAACTAGATCTGCATTTTAAGCACAGCTCCTGCAGTGTATGCTGTGAGCAGTAAATTTTAGCCTAGACATGAGAGAATGTGTCTGTGGTGAATGTGCACAGTGCATAATGGGAAAGCAAACAACTAACCTTGTGTTTGGTTTAAAATAGCAACGACGACTTGTTTTCTAGGATGGTTTTTTATTTTTGAGCCGTTTCTCAGTATCGATTGATACAGTGGAACATAATACTAGTGAAATAGAAATGATTTTGGTCAGTTTCATGACGAAGTAGCTTGTAATAGGGCTCAAAATACAAGTACCTCTTGAGTTACGATGGTTCAACTTACGATATTTCGACTTTACAATGGAGCAAGAGCAGTTACTTTGGAGATGAAACTTGAGATTGTTACCTAGCAAGAAGTCGGCAGGTCTATAACTTGTATTCATTTATTTAATTTTCAATACTCGTATTTAATTACAGTAAATATTTGTTTATTCAGTGATATTTATTTATTTATTATATCGATTTTTGACTTACAATATTTTCGATTTACGATGGATTCATTAGTAACTGCATAACAATAAATTTCAAATTTTTCGCGAAATAAAAATTCAAAGGGGAAAGCAAAAGAATGAAAAAGGGGACCTTGAGACGTTCTAATGAAAGAGGAAAGGTCATTTTATTGCCAGGTTTTGTATTTTTGTTTTTTCTGGGCCCTTTGGGAAATTGGGGCTTTTTTTTGAAATTTGTGTGAAATTGGCAAAATTGCTAAATTCTGCCAGTAGGATAGTTGAAAATGGAAAAATGGGTGGTTTCTTGCACTCATTCAATAGAAAAAAATTTAGTTCTAGCGAAATATTCATGTTTTTTGTCGACTAGTACAGTGGAATTGGCCGAAAATGGGGCTCAAAGTGGGCAAAATCGCCGATGTGTAAACATCACCGAGACTGCTAACTTCGCGAGAGCATAATTCTGTAAGTTTTCCATCAAATCTCATAATTTTGGTGTCATTATGATCGGGAAAAGATTCTCTATCTTTTCACAAGAAAAAATATTTTTTTTTTTTTAAATTTGGCCGACCCTGAGAACGAGTTTCTGAGAGGGCCTGTCGACCCTCAAAGGGTTAAATGTCTTTTTTTTTTTTTTTCAACAAGTCAGCCGTCTCCCACCGAGGCAGGGTGACCCAAAAAAGAAAGAAAATCCCCAAAAAGAAAATACTTCATCCATCATTCAACACTTTCACCACACTCACACATTATCACTGCTTTTGCAGAGGTGCTCAGAATACAACAGTTTAGAAGCATATACGTATAAAGATACACAACATATCCCTCCAAACTGCCAATATCCCAAACCCCTCCTTTAAAGTGCAGGCATTGTACTTCCCATTTCCAGGACTCAAGTCCGACTATGTGAAAATAACCGGTTTCCCTGAATCCCTCACTAAATATTACCCTGCTCACACTCCAAACAGATCGTCAGGTCCCAAGTATCATTGTCTCCATTCACTCCTATCTAAACCCCGCTCGTGCACGCTTGCTGGAAGCCCCAAGCCCCTCGCCCACAAAACTCCTTTACCCCCTCTTTCCAGGACGACCCTACCCCTCTTTCCTTCCCCTATAGATTTATGCTTTCCATGTCATTCTACTTTGATCCATTCTCTCTAAATGACCAAACCACCTCAACAACCCCTCTTCTGCCTCTGACTAATGCTTTTATTAACTCCACACCTTCTCTTAATTTCCACACTCCGAATTTCTCCCATAATATTTACACCACACATTCCCCTTAGACAGGCAATCTCCACTGCCTCCAACTGTTCCTCGCTGCTGCATTTACCACCCAAGCTTCACATCCATATAAGAGTGTTGGTACTACTATACTTTCATACATTCCCTTCTTTGCCTCCATAGTTTAAACTTTTTTTTTTTTACTCCACATATCCCTAAACGCACCACTCGCCTTTTTTCCCCCATCAATTCTATGATTAACCTCATCCTTCATAAATCCATCCGCCGACACGTCAATCCCAAGTATCTAAAAAAACATTCACTTCTTCCATACTCCTCCTCCCCAATTTGATACCCAAATTTTTTTCTTTATCTAAATCATTTGATACCCTCATCACCTTACTCTTTCTATGTTCACTTTCAACTTTCTACCTTTACACACATTCTAAAATCATCCACTAACCTTTGCAATTTTTCTTTAGATCTCCCATAAGCACAGTATCATCAGCAAAAAGTAATGTCAATTCCCATTTTGAATTTGATTCCCCATAATTTAATCCCCCCCTCTCCCGAACACCCTGGCATTTACTTCTTTTACAACCCCATCTAAAAAATATATTTAAAAAACCCATGGTGACATTACACTCCCTGTCAAAGACCTACTTTTACCGGGAAGTAAAGCTCCCTCTCTTCTACACACCCTAACCTGAGCTCACTATCTCATAAAGCTCTTTACAGCATTTGTAACTTACCACCTTTTCCATAAACTTGCACATCTGCCACATTGCTCCTCTACCCACTCTATCATATGCCTTTTCTAAATCCATAAATGCAAAAAAAATTTCCCCTCCCTTTTATCTAAATACTGTTCACATATATGCTTCAATGTAAAACACTTGATCTACACATCCCCTACCCACTTAAAGCTCCTTGCTCTCCCCCAATTCTACATTCTTTTCTTACCTCTAATTCTTTCAATTATAACCCTACCGTATACTTTTCCTGGTATACTCAGTAAACTTATTCCTCTAAAATTTTTTTAAAATTTCTCTTTTGCCCCCTTATATAAAGGGACTATACATGCTCTCACCAATCCCTAGGTACCTTCCCCTCTTTCATACATTTATTAAAACAAAAGTGTACCAACCACTCCAACACTATATCCCCCCGCTTTTAACATTTCTTTTCATGATCCCATCAGTTCCAGCTGCTTTACCCCCTTTCATTTACTAATGCCTACGTACCTCCACCACACTTAATTCTGCTCTTCTTCATCCTAAAAGATGGTATACCCCCTGGCCCGTGCATGAAATTACCCTCCCTTTCTTCTCAACATTCAAAAGTTCCTCAAAAAATTCTTGCCATCTACCTAATACCTCCCTCTCCCATCTACTAACTCCCCTACTCTGTTTTTAACGGACAAATCCATACTTTCCCTAGGCTTTTTTTAACTTGTTTAACTCGCTCCAAAATTTTTTTTTTATTTTCATTAAAATTTCTTGACAGTGCCTCTCCCAAATCTTTCATCTGCTCTCCTTTTGCCCCTCTCTCACCACTCTCTTCACCTTTCTTTTACTCTCCATATACTCTGCTCTTCTTAAAACACTTCTGCTTTGTAAAAACCTCTCGTAAGCTACCTTTTTCTCTTTTATCACACCCTTTACTTCATCATTCCCCCAATTCACTAATCTTTCTCCTGCCCCCACCCTCCCATAACACAAACTTTGCCCCACATTCTAAACTGCAATTTTTAAAACTATTCCAACCCTCTTTAACCCCCCCACACTCATCTTTTTCACTAGCCCACCTTTCTGCCAATAGTCGTTATATCTGCCCGAACTTCCCCTCCCTTAGTTTATACACTTTCACCTCCCTCTTACTTGTTGTTGCCACCTTCCCCTTTTCCCATCTACCTCTTACTCTAACTGTAGCTACAAAATAAATAATGATTGATATATCAGTTGCCCTCTATAACAGTACATCCTGGAGCCTACCCATTTAACCTTTTATCCACCAATACATAAACTAACAAACTAAATTTCATTCGTGCTACATCATACCTTGTATAATTTTTTTTCCTCTTTTTCATAAAATATGTATTACTTATTACCAAATTTCTTTCTACACATAGCTCAATTAAAGGCTCCCCATTTACATTTACCCCTGGCACCCCAAATTTACCTACTACTCCCTCCATAACATTTTTACCCACTTTAGCATTGAAATCCCCAACCACCATTACTCTCACGCTTGATTCAAAACTCCCCACGCATTCACTCAACATTTCCCAGAATCTCTCTCTCTCCTCTACACTTCTCTCTTCTCCAGGTGCATACACGCTTACTATAACCCACTTTTCACATCCCATCTTTATTTTACTCCACATAATGTCTTATTTTACATTAATCCATCTATGATATTGTCTTTAAAATTATATAAGAAACACGTTACATAGCATATAAACATATGTTTGTATGGTGTGGTAGCTGGACGGAGGGAAAACTCAGTTTTCTCTGGTCCAGCACTAGAGAAAATGTGTATGAATCTGTGTTTTGCCTAGTCACTCCCCTTAATACCCTGCTTTTGTTTACAATTCTCGGCATGAAATATTCATTACTTCTCCCTTTGTTTATGATGGCATCTAAAGGTAGTTGCTAGTAATGATTAAACTCGGTGAACAAGGTATGTGATGGTAATAATATGGCTCTGGGCAGCATTAAATATATAGCTATGTAGGCAGGTGTAGCCCAGGTGGGCTACATCTGCCTACATAGCTATATGACTTCATGTATTTATGTAAGTGCATTTGTACGTGTATGTTTGGGGGTTTGAAATGGACTAATTAATTCACAATATTCCTTATGGGACTTCATGCAAATAAATACTTGCCTCTCAGTCAACATTAAGACTACACATACATGTATTTTAAGGTAACTAATGAGTGTACTGGGTATGTATTTTACTTCTTATTGTGTTTTTTAATACCTAATTATATTACTAACTTAATATAAGTTAGTGTAAACTTGTCGTCTGGCATTTATAAGTGGAAAAAAATGGCGTCCTGCTTTCCGGCAGTAGCCTGGAACCTAACCTGCCATGTAAGTGGGGCCCTACCGTACCTTGAATGTTAATCACAAACTTTATAATAACTTGTACAATGTTAGAGAGCAGTAAAGTTACACAAGTGCTAGAAAAATACTAAGTGGTATAGTAAACTATGGATACAGTGCAAAAGGAGAAATGAACTAAAATTCATGTTGCTAGGCATATAAGAGGTGGCTTAGCGCTTCTTTTTGATTATAATAGGCATACAAGATGAAATGCTGCCAAACTGCAGGATCCAAGATAAGGATGATGACTTCTTGTACAAGTGTAGGTTATTTCAGCTTTCTTTTAGGTTACTAACCCAAGATAATTATTCTTATAAGCACTGCAGGGTAGAGTTGACCCAGCAAAATAGTACTGTATCTTGTTTCCAATGGAGTCGTTTCTAAGGATATAACCCACAATAGCCAATAAATTCCTATATACGTAGTGGAAACTGAAGGTGGAATGCTGACCAGTACAGAGAAAACATTGGTGTCCTTTATTGTATAAGGTTTCACCCGTGGATGAGCTTTAAGTAGATAATATAAGAGAAACAAGCTTAAATATTGTAGAGGTCAGGTGTATCGAGGTTTTAGGTTGGAGGTACTGCAGGTAGCCTACTAGCCCTTGTTGGATTTTCTACTATGGAACAATTCATGCTGTAGAGGTGATGGGAATGTATCATTTTGTTTCGTGTTCATGTGCTTTACAATTATAAAAATCTGTGGTCGATTATCATTCTCTTTGAACAATAGTCTGGCCCCATCCCACAATATAAGTGAGTAGTAGTTTAGATAAGCAAAATGTATATAACAGGTATCTTCACTTAAAACACTGTGTGCAGCCAAATAGACACCAAAATATTGAAGAAATCAGAAAAAGCAGTGAGGTACATACAAGTTAATCAGCCAGTAAGGGACTGATAACCTTGAAAGTAATTTTGAGGTTGAAAGGGTGACACTTTGTATTTACCTCTCCACTGCCAATCCTAATACAGAAACAGCTTAAAATGATTTTAGCTGAGAAAGGTTAGGTGCAACTCAGAAAGACAGGTCACTTACCAGAAACTAGTGGGTGAGGGGCTTGAAATTAATGAGATAATAGGTCAGTAGGCCTGCTGCAGTGAATCTCCATTATGTCACCTGATGATAGTTTTGTTGGGCAAAACCAATTAGCATCAGGTAACTGGTTCTGTGATGCACTGAAGTGGGCCTACTGACCCATGTTATGCAGATTCTTCTCATTTTCAAGCCCTGCCCATTTATTTCAGGCAAGTGACCTAAGAGTCATACCTGACCCCTCTCTAATATAATTTTTTTTTTTTTTTTTTTTTGCCATCTCTGTATTAAAACTGATAAAGCCACAAGTGGCAGAGTATCTTCAGTAAGTGAACATTGTTTTATTCCCACAGTCTATTGACATTGACATTAACATAACCGTACTTGTAAATGCTTGGCATCATCTTTGATAACCATAAACACCATCAAACAAAACAGTGGCATGTTCACTTAGCAGCTCCTATAATATGAATTATTCTAGAAGAGTGAATTATTCTAGAAGAGAGCCTAACATGGGCCAGTAGGCTACCTGCAGTATTTTCAACTTAAAACCTTCATGCACCTGACCTCTGCACTACTCAATCCACTTGTTTCTCATATCTTATGTATTATACTTAAAAAAAACCCACCTGTGGATGAAACATTATACCAAAGGAGGATTCCACTGTAACTAGTATCTAACCAACTCCTATATAATAATGAGTTAAGCTCTAAACCTGAAAGGATTATGCAACACCAATTACAGTGTTGCATAATGGTTTTTAGGACTTGACGTGCTGCTGGAGTGCAAGCAAGGTAACATTTATTTAAAGGGATTCAGGGAAACCGGCAGGCCGGACTTGATTCCTGGAGATAGGAAGTACAGTGCTGGCACTGAAGGAGGTGTTAATGATGCAGTTTTATAACTGTAGTGTAAACATGCCTCAGGCAAGACAGTGATGGAGTGAATGATTATGAAAGTTTCTTTTTCAGGGCACCCTGCCTTGGTGGGAAATGACCAATGTGTAATATTTAAAAATTTCTCTGTTTGTTATTTACTGCTAGGCTAAATAAGCCACTGGTGTAAGGAAACACCCCTATGTTTTGCCCTCTAAGTGTAGGTGTGTGGATGATCCAAACCTCCATTTTTGTATGTTGAATCTGACTTTCTTGGTTAGACTGCTGTATAGCCCTTGTGGCTTAGCGCTTCTTTTTGATTATAATAATAATAATAATTGGTTAGACTGATAACCAAATGGAAAATTATATGACTGAAGAGGTTAGATTGAAGAAGGATCTGCTAGTGTTAAACATCACAATTCATCTGTAACAGTGAATGGACTACCAGCATCAAGGGATTGCAGGTAATGTGTGGTATGAACAGTCTAATAATGTATTTGACAAGGTATGTCTTGTGTATATGTTCACTTGCTTTACTCTGTTACACATTAGAAATGATGGAATGAAGTGCATTATGTTTGCCATCAAAAAAAAAAAGACATCTAAACACTTAAAGTTAAGGCTATGGTATTAGAAAGGGGATTTTGCAGTCTGGTGAAACAACATTCTACTGGTAACCACCCTCATAAGATTACCATCACTGCAAGCACATTTGCACACACACACACACACACACACACACCTCCCTCCTTTGTCGCACTTATTACCACCCAAAATACTAAATGTCATATGTTTATCTCAGCTAGATCTAAAGAATTGTGTATTTCTTCCGAATTCAAATTCTGTAAGAGCAGTCTTCAGAGTTTAGTGTGAGTAAAACCAGATTATCACCCTTCAGGCTATACTTACTAGAGGGGATAACTGTGGCATCTTCATTAGTGGTGGAGGCTCTTTTCGCGGTCGTTCAGGCTCTCTTGGAGCAATCACTGGGTGTGGAATGGACTGGAGTTTGGGTTGAGGATTTTGTGGAGGTTTTGCTTTATGCTGCAAGGGTTCAGTAATTCTCTACGAAGATGAGAGTTAACCACTGTCAGATGAATTGCTGGGATCCTTAAGGGTTGCAGATTTCTGCACTGGATGGGTCTTGGGAATCCTATGATAAAGAAAAACAAAGGTTAATAAATAGCACTTCTAAGTAGAATCTCATTGTATTATATAACTGTGTCCTTTATAAGTGACCTGCTTTATTGATATATTTTGACCAACTAGTTCATTAAAACTGCAATTATTTCCACAAGACAATATTGATAATACAAAGATCAGTACAAAATTTTTGAACATTTACTTCATATCTGAAAACTTACTGTCATTTATAAAATAAATTCTTATCAGGATGTATTTACAAAATAAAATCAAACAGCAGCACAGTAATCCCTCTAATTTTGTTGTATGTTCAACAAGCTATATGGAACTCACTCCCAAATGCAAAGTTTCCCTTCAGCTGCCTGCTTCAAAAATATTGTCAAAAAGCATCTCCTAAATTTGGCTTAAACCCTACTTACACAATTTGCATTTAAGCCTGATGTATCATTAGCAATCTTGGTGATTTAAATCATTAGCAGTTGTACCGATGTTCACACTACCACCAATTTGTTTTAATGCGTGTTATTTTAGGATTAATACATAATTCATATAAAATTGTTACAGTATTTAAATGTCAAATATGGCATTCTAGTTAACTATGGTACTATATTTATCTCAGTGTCTAATTATAAATTCATTTAAAAGCTGTGCACAAATGCTCTGCATAACAAGAAGCCTTCTAGAAATAGTTTACATGTATACACAATTACTCCGTCAGTTGTATACTGTATGCCATTTCATAAGTTGTCTGTGAGAGTTCATGGCTTGGAAATTTGATATACAGTGGACCTCCGCATAACGATATTATTTCAATCCAGAAGTCTGTTTGGGTGCCGTTATAGACCGAATTTGTTCCCATAAGAAATATTGTGAATTAGATTAGTCCTTTTCAGACCCCTAAAAATACACCTACAATAGCACTTACAAAAATAAACTTACATAATTGGTCGAGTTGGGAGCTGATCGTTATCCGGGGGTCCACTGTACAGTGGACCCCCGCTTTACGATCACCTCCCAATGCGACCAATTATGCAAGTGTATTTATGTAAGTGCGTTTGTACGTGTATGTTTGGGGGTCTGAAATGGACTAATCTTCACAATATTCCTTATGGGAACAAATTCGGTCAGTACTGGCACCTGAACATACTTCTGGAATGAAATATTATCGTAAACTGGGGGTCCACTGTATTTGACCATTTCCTTAACCAAACCATTTTGTGCCATTGGTATCTTTTTTAGGATTATTGTTTTTGTCTCAACATCAGGGCTTCAATCCCTACAAGACTTCAAACTAGTACTCATTCATTTATCGCCACCTCCATTTACTTATCCTTCATTGCTCTATATTTCTATTTAACAGTCGTAAATTTTCTACATGAACGTAATTATAATGTATACACTGGGTATGTTATGTCTATAGACACAAAACTATCATGTTATTTTAAAGGAAGGGGGGATCCCCTACCATTCTAGTGTAGATTTTCCTACACATTCTGCAGTTCAGTATCTTCCAATCTCATGTAGGTGGTTATTCTTTTCCAACCATTTCCAATACTAATTCAGCACTTATGAGACTGTTGACAGCATCACTGAGTCTGCATTAGTGATCAACAAGTTCTTTTAAATATAATTACAAATGGACTTCTTTCATCTCATGACAGTGTGTATGGTAATATATACATATTCATCATTATTCACTGGTGTCTTTCCAGAAGTATACTGACATCACAATCATGTTACCCTCCAATTGCAAAATCCTCACCCCCACCAGAGTACAGGTACTACCCTTCCCACCTCCAAGACTAGTCTGGCTAACCGGTTTCCTTGAATCCCTTCATAAACATTACCTTGCCCACATTCCAAGAGCAAATCCATAAAAAAAAACATTTGTCTCCATTCACTCCTATCAAACACACAAGCCTGCTGAATACTCGAGCCTCTAAAACTCAAATCCTGTTTATTTATTCAAAATAAATTTTGAAAAATAATTTTTTTTTCTATGTCATGTTTAATGAAAAACTTAAGCTGCATAGGTCTTACCATTTCAGGCTGATGTTCAGCTGTGACCCTATTAGACTGTGACGACTCTGAGTGGTAGCCATTATCATCAGATGTCTTCAGTCGAAACTTGTCTTTATCACCGTGGTGCTCCTCAGCATCCTCAGAGATGCACAGGGAGTGTTCATATTCATCTGGTGAATCTATTGGCTCATCTTTAATATCATCATCGGAAGCAACCTGTGGAGAAAAGTATATGTAATGCAAAATATGAGCAAGGTGACTTAATTTGTGTTCTAGGATATGAAAAAATATGGTATGGTATAAATAAAAACCTATGCTATATCGTACACAGGTGGACACCGAAGATCTTAAAAAATTACCCTATACATTTTTTCTGTTGAACTGACATTGTATAGGGATATTTGGATATTTCATCTTATAGCAATATTTAAAAATTCTTGCTTGATGAAACTAACAAGAGAGAGGAAGAAAGACTAAAGGACAGTTTTTGCTATCTTTAGTCTTAGTGTTCTCCACAATTACTTTAGCACACTAACCAGATTTTGGAAGGTTCCATGGGGTCCAGAAACTTGGAAGGTAGGAGCCGGGGACAGTTTTTCTTCTGCACACCCCTCACTGGATGAAACACTGGACTTTCTGCGAGTGTGTTCATCTTCCTGTGCGTTTTGCCTTGAGCTCTCTTTGCTCCACAAATGTTGCGTAGTTTCCACCTCCATAGTTGTCATTTCATTAGATTCTGCCAACTGATGTTTTGACATTGCATTTGGACTTTCCATTCCATTACTTCTTGATATCTCACTTGGTCTTGTCATAACCACCTCATCGTTTCTTGTCTCGCATGGTCTTGGCATCTCATTTATGAGCACTGTTTCATTAGTCCTTGTCTTCTCATTTATTCTCATTACTTCATTCGGTCTTGTCATTTCGCTTGGTCTTTGCATTTCATCGGGTCTTGGCATTTCCTTAGGTCGAACCATATCAATTGCTCTTGCCATTTCATTAGGTCTTACCATCTGACTGCGTACTGACATATCATTTGGTCTTGCCATCTCATTGCATATTGATATATCATTTGGTCTTCCCATTTCACTGGGTCTCATTCTACGTATGCTTTCAGACCTCATGTTTGGAGAGTATTCTATGAGATGTCTTCTTTTAAATGGTAGCTCATCGTATTGAGGATGGGACCTTGGCAAATCAGGCTCAGGCTGCATCATATCTGAAAACCTTTTGTGACAGTACAGGGATGGATTCAGGTATTCTTGCCTGTATGAAGTGTGATGGATGTGTGAAACAGGTTCATCTGGGCTTTTAGTGAAAACACTCCCTTCTATTGGACTGCAAACCCTGTTGTGTGGCGATTCATTCACTTGCCTAGGGGAGTATCTGTCTGGAACAGGAATAGCTAGCCCTTTGACCTGTAAAGATTTTGCAACTTTGATAAATGCTGGCAGATCTGGCCGAGGCACTAGCACCTCCCCTCGGTACATGTATGTCAAGAGAGACTCCAACTGAACCCTTGCAACATCTTGCAACACCACCACAGGACTCTGACAGTTGGTGTTTGCAAATATTGCTGCAAAGAAGTTGCTGCATGCAGAGAGAACCACCTTGTGAACTGGATAAATATTCCCATCACAAGCAATAGTAGCATCACAGTACAGTTCCTGCAGTAAAAGAAAGCACAACTGTCAGAGCAGACAGGTAGAAGTAGGAGGGGCCCCCTGATATAGAGGACTTAATATAGCCAGTGTGCAGTTTGAAATGATAGCACAAAGGCTTTGAATGGACTGTATGTATATACCACTACTGGACAATGGGAAAATATAAATATCAAACGAGTTTTAAAAATATGCAAATGTGGTAAAGTACTTGTTTAAGTGAAATACAGTATATTAATAATGTTAAATATATATTTATGCAATAAAGTCCAATAATTAGCTTTGAATAGTTTTTATCCCTCTATTGACCTTATATTCCCAACTAAACAATTTATTGAAAGCTAAAAAAGTAATGAAAGTTACCTTGGTTCTGAAATGGTCAAGAAGCCTCACGAACGTAAAGGTGTGTTCATTCCACCTTAAGTTGTACTGATTTTTCTCCACCTCCATCGTCTCAACAGTTGGCTACTGAAAGAGTATAACGAATCCTTAGCAACATTACCGATAGCAAGGATGGTTTTACTTAGAAGGGGCTTTAAGGGATGTCAGTCTGGAGGTAGTGGACTAGAGTACTGTTATTTTTATGTAGGAGAGGCTGGGGACTTCAGCCCTCCTCTTTGTGATGCCCCTGACCAATAGCAAATATGTACCTATATACAAAATACATATAATTTACCATATCTTTTCTGCAGTATACAGGTAATGTAGTTTACATGTAATATAATATTGTCAGGCACAAAAGGAAACACTTGCATGCTGTGCATTTCAGGCAGACTAGTAATGCACAAAGATGAAGACAAACTTCCTCTTAAGAACATATTGATTACAAAATATAAGTCTGCTGAAGCAGAAATATGTAGTTTCAAGGTCACAACTCGATACATTTACTCTATACATGTTGTATAGAGTAAATGTATAGAGTTGAAAAATGGTTATAATAATAATAACCATAATTTTTTAAGGGGTGGACTTGTAAGCCAGCTAAAAGCCTCTGTCCGATGACCAAAAGTTCCAGTGACGGGTCATGATATGACTAAGATTAAGTAAGTTTATTCAGGTATACACAAATACAGTTACATAGAATTATCATACATAGCAACATATGTGTAGAGAACCTAGGATAACCCAAAAAAGTCAGAGTGACTTATTTCCATTGGGGTCCTTTAATTTCCATTGGGGTCCATGTCAGGAGACATTTGTCCTGTTTCCTAACAAATCTTGCCTAACCTAACCTATCGAGGGTCTCTTAATCCAAGGAACATAACCTGACCTTTCTCTGAATTAAACCTGACTGCTTCCCATTAACCCCCAGGCACTGTATTACCCCTTGGGGGGAATACTGTAATAATGCAGGTGCTCACAGTCAAAGTGGGAGTCTGCATCAAAGGTGGGTCTGACAGTGAGGCAGCCAGGTCAAGTAGGCAGTTATGGCAGTGACTACGTCAGAGGGAAGTTCTCCATGCCCGCTGATGGAAGGACAACCTATTACGAGATGGTGAAATGACTAACAATTCTATTGTGTACTGTAATTCTTAGTCTGTAAAACATTTAGTTATTTTTTTTACACAGCTGTATGACCCCCAAACAGATTCAGCATTTTTTTTTCAAATATGATAATTTACACAAGTATTGTGAGAGCACTAATACACAATGTAATCGTGCCCCGTAGCCTGTAGCTCAAACTCTTGCTTCACACAGCGAGGGGTCTATGTTCGATTCCCAGTGAGGGTAGAAACATTGGGCGTTTCTTTACACCGGTTGTCCATGTTCCCCATCAGTAAAATGGGAACCTGGTGGTTAGCCGACTGGTGTGGGTCGCATCCTGGGACAAAACTGCCCTAATTTAACCGAAATGCTCTGCATAACGAGCGGCTTTCTATATAGCAATACGTCATTGATGTCAGCTAGACCCGTATACCCTGTACATGCTAGTGTATGTAATTATCGACATCTGTATGGCTGCCGAAATTAAAAAGAAAAACCTTCAAGGAAGGTGCCGTGATGCAGGTGACGGGCTTTTGATTCAAGAAATTGCATTCCCGTCAATCAACTGCTTTCCTCCCGTTCTTTAAAGATGCTGTATGGACCTTACGAGTTTAGTTCTCTTCCCAATAAAATATTATAAAGAAGCTGGTGTTTGCCCATCAATGTGGTGGCACAGACGATCATGATCACATGAATGCAATAAGATACCCAAGGGTTGAATGTGTTTTCTTCACCTACGTATCGGCATTTTATACCATTAATATGATTTACCCTCCATTCATCATCTCGCAGTTGGGTCTACCCTAGGAGGTAGACAATGACAAAAGCCGACGAGCAGAGCCCAAGGCTTCATGAAGTATATCAGCCCAGCTTGGTCGAAATGTATGAAAAATCATTTTCTGCTACTTTCATTATTGCAGGGGGCATTCATGTGCTCAGAGCCTCGTAATGTTGGGCTTTGATGGATTAAGGATGAAAGAACGACACACGAGATTCAATGTTGAATCGGGTAATCACTACCAAGGTCAAGCAGGCCTTGCCTACTTTTCAATACCATGCATGATCCTCCTCAAACGTCACCTCTATTTGACGTTTACTGCGCAGGCGAAGAGTCTCACTAATATACCTAAATGTGACATGTCTCATTTACTTTTAAGTATTGTATACCATTATGACACCATGGCTACTACTGTACCCTAAGGTTCCCTAATGGCTACTTTCATTATTGCAGGGGTCATCCATATGCTCAGAGGCCTCGTAATGTTGGGCTTTGATGGATTAAGGATGAAGAAAGAACCGACTTTTATATATTCATTTATATGCACCTCGGGATCCACCTTCCCTATTATGCATTGTAAAGGATTTAACCCTAAACAGGCACAACGGAATAACCTTCCATCCCCCATCCCCCCCTACTTAAAAAAGTAACTGCTTTAAGACTGTTCCCTAGCCTCTCTACCTACCAGATGGCAGCACTTCAGGTAATAAATATTCTGGAGTCGCCCCTGGTCCTATTGCTTGGGTACGTGTACACAATATGCAGGTACAGGTGACCTGGTGGCTAAAGCTCCCGCTTCACACACGGAGGGCCCGGGTTCGATTCCCGGCGGGTGGAAACATTTCGACGTTTCCTTACACCTGTTGTCCTGTTCACCTAGCAGCAAATAGGTACCTGGGTGTTAGTCGACTGGTGTGGGTCGCATCCTGGGGGACAAGATTGAGGATCACAATGGAAATAAGTTACAGTCCTCGATGACACACTGACTTTCTTGGGTTATCCTGGGTGGCTAACCCTCGGGGGTTAAAAATCCGAACGAAATCTTATCTTACATTCAGGTCAGGACAGGGGTTTATCAAGTTATTTCATAAAGCTCTCTACCCTGAGCGAAATGTAGTACCAACTAAAGACTGCTGAACAGTCTTTATACTCTTGCCAGTGGGCACTACACCCATACAAACTATTCTATGGCACAGTCGAGCTTTGCCTTGAATTGAATAAGACACGTATACATACACTGATATATTTAGTCCCGAAACGTTCGCGTGCACTACATGTTATTGTTCTGGCGAAACATGCGTCTTATTCATCATGTTGGTACTGTATACCATTAATATATTTCTATCTTGCTTGGTCACTACTGAGCATCTGGAGGAACTACAGCTACGAGCATTAAGCCGGAACTTATTTGACCGTGGCACCAGCATCAAAAATGCAATTCTTGTTTACGAACCGCAATTTATAGTCACTCAGGTAAGACCTTTGAGAGGTGAGGAGAGAAAGTGGGGACAGTTGAGCAGTGAGGTGGAAGAGAAAGGGAGTCGGGATTAAACCCAGCAGCGTAGCAATGTCTTACTGATTTTAACGGTGGGTCTTCGTTCCGTACAGCACAAGTCGTGGGAGGCAATGGATCGGCGAGGCTAGGCAGGAGCTGAAAGCCACGCAGGCAAGATTCAATACCGGTTTGATTCGTGGCTATGGTGGAGGGGAAAGGATAGGTGGTAGAGGGGAGAAGGATTGGGTTGTAGAGGGGGATGGCGAGGTTAAAACTGTCCACCTGCAGGGAGAGAGGTTCAGTTTAGAAGGCGAAGTTTTAAAGAGAAGGTGCAAGGTTGTAGAGATGTAGTAGAGGATTGTGTGGTAGTTTGATAGTATCTTGGAGGTAGGTTGTCCACGACGCTCTTGCAGTAACAATCAAATATTACTAAGAAAAACGTTCGCAATGGCAGTGTAAGCAAACTCCACACTTGGATTCAAGAATAGATATGACAGCTCTGTCGTGTCAGTCGGTGGAAATAGAAGGGCCAACAACTAGAGCTTATACCCCTCAAATTCAAATACTGTAGTCATATATAGTACATAGAAAAAAAAATGGGCATACTCTCAAGTCCAGTGTGTGTCTACCTCAACTCTGATTAATCTATACAACGTATAAATATAATAATGCTACATAATACCGACAAGTAGATAAGCTATCTACATGCAAGTTAGGTATCTATTCCGAAACGTTTCGCCTACCAAGTAGGCTTCATCAATTGAATGCACAAGTGGCATTAACGATACCTTAATGTTACACTTTTGTCTTCCCTATCTATACTACATATATACAGGAACAAAAAAAGGAGCACCAATGCTGTAGACCTACTGGCCCATGATAGGAGGGTCCAACTCTCACTCACCCACTTCTGTACTTTGACTTATTTTTAAAGCTACTCAAATTTCTCGCTACAATGACGCCACTTAGTTTACATGTGTGTAAAAATCAACATCTACAAACCATAAAACAATCATACGGTAAGCCTGGACTTGAGGCCGAAAATTATCTTCCAAAAATTAGCAATTAGCACCGTAGACTTATTCGTTTGATCAATTATTCCTCACAGTAAAACGGTTTCACTGAAGATCAGGTAAAGAAAAGTCCTATGATAAAATTATCTATATTTAATATTTGTCTTTTAGTTTTCTTAACCATTAGGTCAAGTAGCGCATTTAGTGTGGTTTTTAAGTAATACTGAAACCTTTAAAAAATCTATAAACCTGTAGTTCAGAGTTTTAAGGTAAAAAGAAAAAAAATAACGAAAAATGGCAATTTATACAGATCAATTACTTCCATAGAACTTTACGTATGAAGCTTTCATTGTACGTTAAGTAAATTGGCATAAAATATATACTTAATTATTAACACACGCACACAGACCATTTTATTAAGTACACCATTCTAGTACTGGGTAGGTCTTCTCTTTGCCTCCAGAACAGCCTGAAATCTTCATGGAATGGATTCAACAAGTGCTGGAGACATTCTTTAAATAGATCCTGGTCCATGTTTTCACAACAGCATCATGTAGTCGCTGCAGATTTGTCGGCTGCACATTCATGCTGTAAATCTCCCGTTCACCATATCCCGAAGGCTTACACCAAATTCTGATGAACATCTGCATGTCGCAACAGGAATTGCGATTCATCAGACCAGGTGACTTTTCCCAATCTTCAGCTGTCTAGTTTCGGCGAGACTGCCCATTGTAGCCTCAGTTTCTTGTTCTTAGCTGACAGGCGTGGAACCCGGTGTGGTCTTCTACTGCTGTAGCTCATCCTCTTCAAGGTTCGACGTGTTGTGCATTCAGAGATGCTCTTCTGCATACCACTCGTAACGTGTGGTTGAGTTAGTGTTACTTTCTTGTCAGCTTGAACCAGTCTGGCCATTCTCCTCTGACCTCTCGTTATTTAAGAGTTTTCACCTACAAAACTGCCACTCACTGGACGTTTTGTGCTTTTCACACCATTCTCTGCAAATTCGAGACTTGTACGTGAAAATCCCAAGAGATAAGCAATTTGCGACACTCAAACCACCCCATCTGGCACCAACAATCATTCCACAGCCCTAGTCACTTAGATCACATTACTTCTCCATTCTGATGTTTGGTCTAAACAACAGAACCTCTTGACCATGTATGTGGTGCTGCTACGTGATTGGCTTATTAGATATTTGCATTAACCAAGTCAACCTAATAGTCACCGAGTATAAGATATGTATATAATAAATAAATATATGTATACATAATTATACATACCTACTAAGACGGAGTCCATTCCAAAATATATATTAAAAATGAGAATTCCTTCTCTTTCATAATCTAATCTAGAAAGGAAACTGATGAAGAAATTCAGAAAAAATGCAAAACATTAAAATAATATTACATTCATGGGTGAGGAGCGCTAAGCTCGTACGAGGCAATCCAGAGTCTGGGGACTGGGACGCAATAAAATTCGTCCCAAGGGCAGTGAAGTCCTGTTTGTTGAATCAAGAGCCCTTCATACATATGTACCATGAAGCGCATATATATATATATATATATATATATATATATATATATATAATATATATATATATATATATATATATATATCCATGAAGCGCATATTTATGCATGCTAAGTTTACTTTCATCTCTGCTTTAGGTATTGCAGTATTCTTGACCAGTGGTGAACAGGTGCCTTGCAGCTTCAATAACCCTTGTGAAGTAGATAGGCTTTAAACACCATTAACGAAGCAACCAGGATAATAAATCTGTTAATTTTGATCCATCGGAGGAGACGGCAGCCCACACGACTCAATATCTGAAGAGGCTGAAGTAAACAGGTTTTATACAAGGGAAGAACATATAGCTCCTGTTTCTTCTATCCAGGTACCACTCCCTTCTCCCTCACTGAAGTATTTCCAGTAGTTACAGTAGGTAAGATTCGCCAGGAAACAGGACAAGTATTTCCTGACGTGGGTCTTAGTCATATGATGACCCAACACTGGAGCTTTTGGGAATCTGATCAAGGCCTCCCACTGGCTTACCCCTCCACCCCCTATAAATATTAAGATTTATTATTATTAGTTACGGTAGATAATGAACTTACCCGTTAGATTACAGAGTCAGACTTGCATGAGACTGTCGCGGTGCATAACTTATGAAGGGACTGCACCTGTCCACTGCTGATCCTCCTAATGCACTACTGGGTACAGCTGACCACGGGGTATTATATACCCAGAGCTATGTATATCATGGTACATATACACAATTTAATCCCTATCTTAGGAATTACAGTATCTTTCATGCTAAAATCTCCATGGATTAACGAGACCCTAATTACCCTCGTGTAAAGAGGGTCACGGACCTTAATGTTTCACACAACTGTCAGAAATCACTGGTGTATATCTCCGTGGTGAGGTCGCGTGCACACACTGAGCGTCTAGTGTATATCCTAGCGAGGCGACGACTAGTGTAAGACTGCTGGGAAATAGAGGCCGGTGTGAGGGAGGGGGCTGTCATCATCTCCCTCCCTCACCCTCGCTATCATCCTGCCTGCTGGATTTTCCTCCTGACGTCATTATCCACGCCGTGACGTCACTGTAAATAAACAACTCTCCAGGGGTAACTGAACAAAACTAAGCATCCTTCGAAGGGTAACTCCTCAAAACTTATTTAACCAAGGCTGTCATTACGAAAGACTTGTTTGCTGAAGAGCTCAGAGGAGCAATGTTGAATTAGGAAAACATTGGAAGGGTTCTTGTGGAGTGTGTGGAGGGAATGAGGGGGACCCACCATCTCTGGAATCCGGACACGGAGAAGTGCGGGATCATCAGTGCAAGTCACGGCTGATCTTCTGCACACGAGATCTGGAGTTGACTATTTTTTCTCGAGTTCTTTTACTCCCTTTCACATTCTCTAGATGACCTATGAGAGTTTATTATTGCGTTGATGCTCTTCTAGTGTAACCACTACCTGTAGTAATATTCGCCCGTGTTCTATAAAAACTTGTGTAGACAAAAATTGGACTTGCTGAAACCTCCCCTCATTATATTCAAGGCGAAAGGGGGCAAAACCTATACTCGTACAGCGCCTGGAGAAATGAGAGGCTAAGGACCAGGCGTATTTATAGTTAGGTGAACGTGAGTTCAAAAAATGCAAGTCTCTACTAGCCCCATTATCGAACCCGGGTCCTTCAGTTCTGAGCCGAGTGCTCTACCACAACTAGCAGTCACCTAAACTTGTACGATATTGTACTTCAAGCATTACACAAAAGTATCTTCGTAATAATCACAACCCTGTATATTTGTGTTCTGGTTAGTGAGCCAAAGATTTATTTTTACACAATAAATTCAAGCTACACAGAGGAAAATGAAAACTGGATTATCGACAAACTGGATATGCGTAACTTTTTTGTTGCTTAAACTAATTTGAGTTACAGTTGTACAACCATTTTATGTAGGTTATCATATAGATCCTACATGATCAACAAGAAAACAGCTGATTCATATAAAGATAACTGACTCACGAAATCGTAATGACACTATTGCAAACAAACCATACCACGGGTGGGGATAGAACCCGCGATCAGAGCGTCTCAAGATATATTTAGCTACTAGTGGTCATTTCCAGATTGGCAAAATCTGGATTCTACACTGCGTGCAGCCAGCAGCAACAGCCTGGTTGATCAGGCTCTGATCCACCAGGAGGCCTGGTCACAGACCGGGCCGCGGGGGCGTTGACCCCCGGAACTCTCTCCAGGTAAACTCCAGGTATTGTGGCTGTTTTGTACTATACTTTTAATAATATTGAAGGAAGCATTATGCATACAGTGGCAACGACTCCTTGAAGAGATAAGAATTAGAGAAGTTGTAGCTGCTAGTGTCCACTGTGGCCAAGCATTAACTACGCACTCACTGAGGACTGACGGGGACCACTAATCTAGCCTACTTATTCAGATCACTGAGTGTAGCACAGGTAAGCCAGCGGTTATGGCTGCCATCGACATCCCTCAACCTTCACTTGTCCTTAGCCTTGCAACGACCCAGCAATCATTTACTACTGGGTAATCCCAAGTTAATTTAAATATTCTAAACATGCTCCCCCCCCCCCAGTCACTGTAAAACCATTTGTATAATGTCCTGAAGAACGAGCAAGGGCATTTTTTGTGAAAAATACTACAAACAAAACTCCATGTCTTACCTGGGATTTATTCGTAGAAGAGGGCTCTTCTCTTTCCAGTCAGCTCTCAAACATATGACCTGTAATTTCCATTCATAAGGACAAGAATTAAATTCAAATTTCACAGTACAATACTGATGATATATACAACAACTGAATTACAAAGGGCCTAGAAATGGTTTATGCAAACTATATTCTACAACTGTTTAATAAAATTATCGATCACAAGAACCGTGGGCACATAATATTAATAAAACACTCAACATATGATGGTGCTGTTAACCACATCTTAATGTCTTCCTTCGCTTAAAAAGATAGTGAATTCTACAGTAATACTGGGAGCTTTATCTAATATTGTACCATCAAGTTATTTTCAAATATTTAGAACCAGGGAACATTGTTTCACTCCTAGGAGGGTGAGCTGATGAATCATGGTCGTTAATCCGGATGCATCTATGATTAATTATAGGGAATTATCCAATGGGATCGCTCGTACATCATAATATATCTATTTCTACCAGTACATGTACAAGGTATACAGACCATAGCCGAAATAAATGACATACTATATAGAAAGCCGCTTGTTATGCTGGTCATTTCCCGCAAATTAGGTCAGTTTTGTCCCAAGATGCGACCCACACCAGTGCACTAACACCCAGGTACCCATTTTATATTGATGGGTGAACATGGACAGCAAGTGTCTTATGGAAACACGTCCCTAATGTTTTCCAGCCGTACCGGAGGAAATTCGAACTCCGGACCTCAGTGTGTGAGCTGAGTGCGATAGCGATCAAGCTATGGGACACCCTTAAGGTGCTTTGACGCCTGTGAAGGGCTCTTGATTTGAGAATTGGAGCTATCCCTCGATTCGATTCTTATGACCAGTCTTTGGAAAGATAGGTAAGGAAGGATGGGTAAGGATAGAAATATTGGAAAAGGGTAGGAGGGGGCAGTGAGGTAGGATATAAAAGGCAAGTGGCCCAACCACTTTGGTGCAATTTGAAAATTGTATGTGAAATAATAGAATATTCTTGAAGGGGTTATAATACTAACCATCGAGTCACAGATATAACTGATGACTATCCCTCACTTTCCTTGGTTTTGCATGCGATTGCCTCTCATTTTCTAAGGTTTTTAGGTTAGGTAAGGTTTGTCAGGAAACCAGGACAAGTGCTTCCTGACGCAGGTCTTAGTTATATGATTACCTACAGCCGGGGGCTTTTGGTCATCAGCCCGGGTCTTCCACTGGTTACCACTCCACCCCTTTAAAAAATTTATATTTATAATTATAACCATTTTTCTCCATTCTCAAGGTGCTGAAAAACCCCCTGAAGGTTCAGTGTGCCTCTCCATTAATAAAATCACCCAGCCTATAACAAACTAAACAATATATCCGGTCACGATAAGGTATGAGGTACGACTATCGGACGCCACCTGCGCCACACACCACCCACCCATTAACAAGTGTTCCCGAAGGAAAACTTCGTCCAGTGTATATGCTATTTACATTATAACTAATGTAAAAGATTTGACCTTCGATTTTTCCTACTCTCTTGTAGAAGTAGCATGTCAGCGCTTGCTTGTTACCGTTATATTTACTAAGCAGTAAAAGTTTTTTGGTTACGCTTTAAAAACATTCCATTTCAAATTTTATATAACAAATTTAAAATCAACATTACCCATTTGGGTTACTGTCGTGACCAGTTCATTTCGTATTACATAGTAATCACAACGCAAGTAAAAACTATTCAAAAAACTATTTGTCACATCCGCAATCCACGTCTAAAGAACGTTCCAGTCATCGACCAGGAGCGTTACAGATTTAAAGGAAAGGGGAAATATCCCAACATTTATGCCGGAGGATACGCTGGGCCCTTAGGCAAGCTCCCGGTGAATGGTATGGCACCCCTCTAAGGATAAGAGGCCCCCCCCCCACCTTCAGGAATAAACCACAGACCCCACCCTCATCAGTCAGCGCTACATCCCCTGATTCACCTGGTGATACCTGGAGGGTGTTCGGGGGATCAATCCGCCCCCCCCCACCCCCGGTCCATGACCAGTGATCTCATTTCCTTTCCATTTTCTTTTGCATGCATGCCCCAAGTCAGTCCTCATTTCGCCTTTCAAATCCACTGCTAAAAACGTAACCAGTTTTCTCCTTTCTGGGTTTATTTGGTTACGGTGTGGTTAATACTGTACTGAATCAATTTGTGGTCAACAGTGTTTATCTCTGTTAGGGATCCCAGTCTTTCCCGGTTTAACGAGGAGTCCCGGTTTTGTGGTGTCCCCGAAATTGGGTTTCGTGACGCCAAATGACACTTTTCAAATGTTTAAAATTTAAATGTCTAGTTTGTATAGTATTCTTATTTATATTTTGTTTGTATTAAAGTCAATTTTTGTCATCCTAGTTATTTTATTCCTGTAATCACTAATTAAATGTTTACTTGAGTAACGGGGCCTTCCCAACAAAAATTTTATAAAGTGTTTCCGGTATTTGGTTTTTAGTTTAGAAAGGACAGTAAGCAAACACTAGGACATATTAGAAAACCTTTCAGTCCTGGGGGCCTTGATCACTTCTAACATAGAGGTTAAAGACAGTGTATATATATATAACCAGAGTGAGACACATTGTAACCTGGTTTTAACTAAATGACATCTCCATAACTCGAGTTAACATTGTCTACCAAGTCATCCAGCTCTTTTTTGACAATCAACCGTTATTCGTGCCTCAGCGTTTCCTGATAGCCTACCCCCTTTTTTTATAGGCCTACAGGTTTAACGTGGGTATAAACTACTGTGGGTATACCTTAATAGTTTATACTGAGGGTATAAACTACTGATGTTGAATATTCACTCTTTTTCCCCGTAATCAGTATCGCTGTAACTACCCTGCTTTTCTCATTATAAAACAATCATGGGGGAGAGCTAAACCCGTAGGGATTATACAGCGCCTGTGGGGGGCTGGGGACAAGGTATTCAGACTCGGTTCAAAGGGCTGGAGAACAGATCCAGTTCCCTAGATCAAGAGCCCCTCACCACGTCAAGGAAAACCTGCTCTCTTGATTAGCGATCCACTCAACTACCCCTAGATTTACGACGGCGAAAGTATTAAAAGGGCTGCCCTAATGTTGTCAGTAGCATTATTCATCAACAAATCTGAAAGTAACACGATATCCAAATTGGGTAACCAACAGGTATTACCCATTCTGGAGGGCCGGGGTATCATGATGCTGACAGGTCCTCCTCAAACCCAACTCATCTCACCGCAATTGCACTACTGCGGCTTATGACCTGACTCCTGATATTATATCTACTCGTTCTTTTTATCTCTGTATTATTACGAAGAAGCCAATCGTGGCGAAACTTTCCCTCTTACTGGAATGTCGTGGAACGGTGTATTTACACATCTGTAGTATTCACAACCTAACCTCTTAACTCCCATAAAAGATAGGTAGATTTCTCGTACAGGGTTGCAGCAAATTTCTCTTAGGTTAGGCTGTCCCCTGTCCATAAAAATTAGCCATTATAACATACCACAACGGAGAAAATATAAATACAAGGTAAAGATCAAAAATTTTGTGTCGCGAACAGGAAACTGAGCCACGGAGGCGGTATACTTATGTTGGGTTTTTCACTGCTAAGATGCTTCATTAGTCCCACGTTACCTGTGGTTACAACAGTGAAATGATGGCTGATTAAGAGGATGGGCTGATATTCTTGGCACTGTCTCTTACATGTTAGCTAAGCGAGTCAGGAACCCTACTCGACACGTCAGCTTGAACAAAAACGGAACAATACACAAATAACCCGCACATAAGAGAGGAGCTTACCACGACGTTTCGGTCATACCTGAACCATTTACAAAGTCACACGTCAGCTTGGCGAAACATTCTACTGTAGTAAGTGGATTTCTGAAGACCCCGTATAGTATGCTGGCCAGTGATGGGTCTTATTAGTAATTAAACGTCAACTTCTGTAGTAAAACATATATTCTTATGAGAGTGGCAACAATGGTCTCGTTGGACTAAGGCGATATTCAGGGAAAGCACTAAACCCGCAGGATTCGTACAGCCCCTGGGAAATAGGAAATAAGCAAGAGATCTACAGAAGGGAAAGGTAGTTCCAATTCCTTGCATCCACAGTCTTTTACCAGCCCCGAAGGTATTTTTGAAGGGTATTCGACTCGAGGTTACAGGCGCCCTTTCCCAAAGGTCTAGCTGCACTGAGTTAACCCGTACGACTAACTTTTTTTGGAGAACACAATTATTGACGAGTAAAAAATTTGGATATCTTTATTACAGTCTTGGGTATCTTTAGGGGTAATAAAGATACCAAGTGTTTTCTGACTTTGCCGTTATTTGTATACCACTCACAATATATAATTATGGGTCATAAGCTCACGAAGACAGACAAAGCAACTACAAATGAAGCATCTTCCCTTCCTCCTCTCCCCCCCCCCACACACACACAAAGTAACGGACTGTCGTGGGTAAATCTTTAGGACCAGACAAGATCTCACCTTGGGCATTGCAAGTGGGAAATGAGCGCCCAGCAAGCCACTAACGAAGATCGATACCAAAAATTAAAGACCAGGAAGGTTGAAAATTTTGAATAAAGTACAGCTATTCAAGGTATAGGCCAGAAACTTAACTACCGATATCCCAGGGGTATAGATTTGCCCGAAGTGTTGAAGATGTTAAGAAACGCCCCGGGAAAATTGCGCTCCTAAGATGGGCATATATAATTTTTAATGCGAAGAACTGGGTAAGTACAGCGGAAGGCCTCACTCAAAGGACTTTCTAAGAAAACTCGAGGAGTCAATGTAATGAAGGCTTACATCTGGAGAAAAATTTCCTTATTTATCCTGACAAACAAACTCTCCCCGTCCCTTCTCATTTCTCCTGATAAACAAAAGTCACCTAAGGAGAATCATGCCTCGCTAACCATTTTGTAACAAGACAAGGAGTTTTAAACTGCAAATTTTCATCATTATAAGAGTCTTCTACACTGTGCCACACAGGTAAAATAACTGATAAGTTGTATAAATCAGGGTTATAATTAACAACGTTGGCTACAGTTAATCCATACCTTGACTGCTTCACATCCCTCGTCCTTCGTGTCCAACATTGTGTCAAGCCGAACCCAAACTGACCCTGCTGAGAAAAGTGAAAGAGGTTGCAGAACAAACTTGCAATGGGACTTCTAGAGCTCTACACAAGAGTGAAACATTCACCCGATAAAAGTTTCCCTTGTATAGTGTCTTTTCACCTTTGTCTTCATCAATACGTGTAGTTTCTTCTGGGTTTCTTCTCCCGATGACTGAATTTGTAGTGTTGATATTTTTTTTTCTGGGAAATTCGTCACTGTGGCGACCAGGACACTCAATATGTAGACTTTCTAGGTATATTTGAGAAAGTTTCGCATTGTGGCTTCATCAGTCCTCTGCACACCCAGTCTAGCATATTCCATTTTTCCATCTGGATTAGCTCTACCTGCATTTAGAAACAAAAATGTTAGATACCTTTAAAAATCTGAAAGTTATGGCTTGGGAACCATTAACCAAAAACCATATTTTAAATTAAAAAATTTAAAAATTTTTAAAAAAACCATAAACATTAGTAAACTCAAAAATAGCCAATGTAAAAATGTTAAAATATTACAAAATAATAGTCTGATCATTAGAGGGCGAGTGGGAAAAACATACTAAAAATATCTCTGAAAGGAAAAAAAATTATTTATCAGTCAGGGTTTTTTTTAAATTTTCACTTTTTTTTTTGCGCTAGACGGTAACCAATCGTCAGTTAATCCTCCCCCTGACATATCATTTAATCATCCAGTCAACCTTTCTCACCTCCTCTTACAAAGGTTGCAGAAGCTTTCGTGGGGCAGCATTTGGCTCCTACATTAAGCTCTATGTACACAAACGAAGCTTTCTAGACCATTTTTTTGGCACTACGCTTTCTAGACCATTTTTTGGCACTATGCGCTCTAGACCATTTTATTTTTTTTGATACTACGCTACCTCAATTCAACTCTTCTCTCGTAGTAAGTACGCACCTCATTACCACCTCCACCTGGTGCAATTAAATAAAAAAAAATCCCTACAGGTGTGCCACTAGCTATGCAAGAGTTTTGGGTATGTTAATGTAGGCTTGCCAGGACGGGTCCTGGCTCGGGTCTTGTGGGTATGAAATTTATTTTCCGCACTGGCATCTTTCATCAACCTGTACCCTTGGTATCTGTTAAATACACATCCTAAATTTTCTATTTTCACGGGAAGTGCTAAGACCACAAGGCGCCTGGGAAAAGGAAGGTAAAACGATCCAAAAAGGACGATCAAGTTCAGTCTTGTGCTCGGGAAAGCGAAATTTATTGCAAATAATATTACGCAAGAGATATTTAAAACTGAAGAGATTGATAAGGCACGTGGCAAACACCTGGGTGCCTTTATGAAGATACGCAGGTGTTGCACATGTCTTATTCATCAAGCAACATTATAACTATGCCAGTGCGTACGATGCAAGGACACCTTGCGCATTGGCCTGAAGTGTTCACAATGGAATATTACTATAATCAAAAGAAGCGCTAAGCCACAAGGGCTATACAGCGCTCACAATGGAATAGGTATTATAAGATTAATAAGTTAGTTCATTTAGGTACATGGTACACATAAGAACAATGATCATGCAGAGTAACGTGTAAATTACATAGGATAAAACCCCCAAAAAAAGGTCAAAGTGACTTATTCCCACTGGAGGTCACTGTAAAATCCTATTATTTAAAGCCTAGCTGTAAGTAATTACGTAAAGCCTAGCTGTAAGATAATACGTAAAAGCCTAAACTGTAAGATAATTACGTAAAGCCCAGCTGTAAGATAATTACGTAAAGCCTAGCTGTAAGATAATTACGTAAAGCCTAGCTGTAAAATAATTACGTAAAGCCTAGGGTGGTAAGATAATTACGTAAAGCCTAGCTGTAAGATAATTACGTAAAGCCTAGCTGTAAGATAATTAAAGTAAAGCCTAGCTGTAAGATAATTACGTAAAGCCTAAACTGTAAGATAATTACGTAAAGCCTAGCTGTAAGATAATTAAGTAAAGCCTAGCTGTAAGATAATTACGTAAAGCCTAGCTGTAAGATAATTACGTAAAAGCCTAGCGTAAGATAATTACGTAAAGCCTAGCTGTAAGATAATTACGTAAAGCCTAGCTGTAAGATAATTACGTAAAGCCTAGCTGTAAGATAATTACGTAAAGCCTAGCTGTAAGATACAGCAAAAATGGAAAGTAATCGGATATAATCTTAAGCTCATTTTTTTCCACTGGATCAGGAGTCCTTGAGGAGGGACGGCGGATTTATATAGTTCCTCTTCACTAATGTCTCTTTGTGTTCTTAATTGTATATGCACTTCTCTGCCGCCCTAACCCGTGATGGTCAGTTTGAATTCCAAATGTTCCTCCACACCTCTGATTTTATCACACAGCTTGCTTTCATGGGCAGGAAGAGACCTGTTGATGGCGAAGGCTGCTGGAACACACCGATCATGGCTAACCCTTTTATTCCTTGGGTAAAATGCTGATTACCTCCCAATTCCCTAGCTCTATATGACCATCGGGGCTTAGAGTTTCCTCATAAATACAAAATCAAGGTCACCAAAATAATTATAATCATAACTAAGCTTTAAACTCTCAAGGGTAGACAGCGCTGCAGGGTAGGGCGTGGTAAAGGTTTTATATGCTTGATCAGACACTAGCGAGGGTGGAGTATAACAAGTTGAGTTAGTAAGCGCGGTGCGCAGTGCTACGGAAAGTATAATCAAAGTATGTGTAACAAATCTGTGGCTGTCAAAGTGGGAGTGTGTCAAAGATGGGGCCGTCAGCGAAGAGGCAAAATAAAGGGGGACGTCACCAAAAATTTAGAAAAATCTCTAAGTGAAGGTTTATTAGGCATGTGCAACATTGAGTGTCAGTAAAGATAGCCAGGTGTTGTTCGTGTGCATTAAGCCCACAACATACAAACATTACACAAATACTGCTTTCGTGAAAGGTGTTCTGAATGACGTCAGGAGAGGCACACTACTGCACGTAAGGCAAGTCTCGGGAGGCTTGTGTGGAATTTAAAGTATCTTACAGTAACAGGATCTCTGGAGCTTCAGTGGGTGACCTCACTGATACTTCTGTATACAGTATTTAAGATCTGTAAGGGGCAGGCGTCCCCTTCAGGGACACGTGATTGAAGTGTGAAGGTAAATTAAGCTTCATCCCTCTGGGATGTATTTTTAATATCAAACCTACAATCATCCAGGCCCGGTGGCCTGGTGGCTAAAGCTCCCGCTTCACACACGGAGGGCCCGGGTTCGATTCCCGGCGGGTGGAAATTCCGACACGTTTCCTTACACCTATTGTCCTGTTCACCTAGCAGCAAATAGGTACCTGGGTGTTAGTCGACTGGTGTGGGTCGCATCCTGGGGGACAAGATTAAGGACCCCAATGGAAATAAGTTAGACAGTCCTCGATGACGCACTGACATTCTTGGGTTATCCTGGGTGGCTAACCCTCCGGGGTTAAAAATCCGAACGAAATCTTATCTTATCTTATCACCTCATGTCTTATTACGTTCCAGGAAAGGGGTGCCAAATCCATGGGGAAGGGGGGTATACATAGGCTTACCATAATATCTCAAACTGGGACTCAAGGAAAAAAAAAAAACGAAATATAAAGTAGGTACATTTTTCCTTAATTTCAAAGACTAATAATGCTCCAATTTCTCATTTAAGGACTAAATCATGAAATAAAAAAAAAAGCTTGAAGTATGGAACCACTCTTCGCAAAACCTTCCTTAGGAATAAATTTTTTTTCCTCTTAAAACTCGCTGCAACTTAAAGTTCATTTTGCACTACATTTGCCCCTTTAAAAAAAAAACCATACCACGGGCGGGATTTGAACCCGCGGTCAGAGTCTCTCAAAACTCCAGACCGTCGCGTTAGCCACTGGACCAGCTAGCCGTCATGTTGACGGCAGTGAGGGGACTTGAGCTAGAGTTCGTCACAGCCACGCTAGCTGGAGATTCGTCTGTAAAAGCTTGCAATTTGTGGTCACAGTAGTGCCTATGCTAACCTTCCTATGGTGTAGAAATATACCTAGTTGGATGAATCTTATTGTGGCTAGCTGGTCCAGTGGCTAACGCGACGGTCTGGAGTTTTGAAACACACTGACCGCGGGTTCAAATCCCGCCCGTGGTATGGTTTGTTTGCAATCGTGTCATTACGATTTCGTGAGTCATTTGCCCCTTTCACTGCAAATTCAGGCATTAACCTTCCTGGGACCATTTTGTCCGGTCATTTTGTCCGGGACAAAATGACCGGAACGCCGAGACAGGACTTTCAAACCGGGACAATGGCGGTCAAAAAGGGATGCATGTTAAGTCTGATTATACAGCATCTGGGAGAATGGAAGTCATCAGGCTCTGTTCAAGGAAGGGAAGGTAATGTCCTATTATTTCCTATCAAGAGCCCATCACCAGCATCAAGGAACCTTTATTGAGGGGTATACCCAGATATATATCTTGGCAAAGTGTACGGTGTAATAATGTTGGTAAAATTACAGACAGTATGTTAGGTAAAAGGAAAAGTACAACTAATGCGACATTTCGTGGCAACCTTTCGCTCGACAGAGCTGGAGAGCGAAACGTTGCCTCAGTAAAATGTCCCATTAGTTGCACCTGTGTTCTTTTACCGAAGTGTACATTCACTGTTCCCCACAGTGAACATCAGTGAACATCAGTGAACACCAGAATACATAGTGTGAAGCCTATCGTGTAAGCGAAACGTTTCAACAAGAAGCCTACTCTTGCACGTCTTACCCTTCTACAGTGTGAAGAAACTGATTAGCTAACAAGATTTCAAGCCTATCACTATACCAGGATTTTAAGGCCGCGTGTAACCTGTTTACCATCAATAACAATCTAATGGTTATAATTATAACCATAATTTTTTAAGTGGTGGAGGGGTAAGCCAGTGGAAGGCCTCTGTCAGATGACCAAAAGCCTGAACATGAGCTTATTACGACTAAATTGTAATAGGGCTTGGGTACACGGATCAAGAAATACACTGCATATATTGTGAAAAGGAATGGCCTGAGCTTGCTACTATCTGCACCTCATAAGACTGCCATCCCCACGAGCCCCTTTGTGGGGCTGGGCAGATGGTAGACCAGAGGCCTAGCTTCTCCCTGCGAGCCCCGTGAGGGCGGGGACTGTGGCTAGGCCTGGGGACACTTGGTCCCAAAGATGAGGGGGTACTTGTACCTCCTCCCATGGGAGACTTAGGTCTCGAGACTCCCCCA